ACTCCTCCCTCCCCCACCTTCCTCTTTCTCCTCATATTCTCCCTGGACTTTGGGAGAGTTGACTGTTGTTCACTGTTGTGTGTCTGAGTAGCTACTACCCCAGACTAGCTCAGACCAGACCCCTCACCTCAGTGGCTCCTTCCACCTGTCTGTGTCCTATCGTCCACCCCACCTGTGACTTGCCTGTGAACATCTTGGTGTAGGCTTCTCCCAGCTGCATCTGGGACTGGGATTTAGATCTTCGTTACCAGAGCACTGAGTCAAGTGGGACAGCCTGTGGAGTCAAAGGAACATGGAAACACCCCAACCTGCACCACCCCCCACCCGTCTCAGGCAGCACTTCCGCAGCCCTGACAGGAAACCAGCCTCAGTCTCAGCCTCCCGCCATCTCGAAGCAACTTCTTGTTTCTAAGTTGCCCTGTGCCAGCCCTGTGGGGTTGTGGTCCCCCAACCTTTCCAGGCTCCATCCCAGCAGCTCAGAGGAGCCAGGATGGTGGACATGATTGCCAAACTGACCAGGAGACAGAGCCGGGCGCTTCGGGCACAGGTAGTGATGGAGGAATTGGGAGCCAGCTCAGCCTCTAATGGGGTGGCAGAGGGCCTTGTGGGTTCGGGGCACCAGCAGGCCTGCAGCCCACTCTGTTAGGAGATGGCTGCAGTGGGGTTCAGAACAGAGCATGTCAGGGAGGCCGAGACCCTTCTCCTTCTTGCCCTCCGCTTCTCAAAGGCCTTTCCTGTCTAAGGGGGCAGCAAAGCAATCTGAGATCCTGAGAGCTTGGGGCAGCAAGAGGCAGAGCTGCCACCTGCTGTGGGCAAGGGGATGGAATTGGAGGCAAGGGGCACACCACCATAAGGAAGTGGAGGGGAATGTGGGTGTGGCGAAAGCCAGGATCCCTCTTGGCTCAGTCTTATGGCCTGAGGTTGGGAGGTTTCTTCCTCTTTCCCACTTAGTATCCTGTGTCTATAGGACACAACTGGGAGGCCTTGGTGCTGTTGCTCAGCTGTGGCTACATATGAACTTTAGGAGTGGAGGCCCCACCTTCATCCCTTGAAAGCAGAGTGGAGGGCCTGAGCTTACCCAGCCCCCAAGAGCTTACCACCAAAAGAAAGCCCCTTGTGGAAAGGTCCAGAGTTTAAAGGGATCTCCAGTGTACTACTAGGCAGCTGCAGCATTGCAGAGGGTGTGGACTCTGCCTACTTGCCTCCATGAGGGGCCCTCTCCTTCCTCCCCAAACGGTGTCTCTGGAGCAACCCACCCTCCTAATGCTTCCTGCCCCCACCCCATGATTCTGCATCTTCTCTCACACTAGGGACCTAAATTTCTCTCTCCTAAATCTCCCCTATGACTACTGGCATGTTCTGTTAGCTCCAGTAGCCTGTCTGCTACAAATCCCTCCTCCAAAAAGCCTAGCTCCACCACCCATGGACCCTTCCTACCCCTGCCTGGGAATAGGCAAGGCCACAGCCCAGATGGGCCTGGCTGTGGTGGCAGAAGGCACATCTGCTCTCTCTCCTCATGGTCTCTGTCCTCTCCTCCCAGGGAGTCTCCTAGACACTGCAGTTTAAAGCTTCATCCCCAGCAAGTTCTTCCTCACATTCTGTCTAGTGGTATAGTATGTTTGTTGCTGACATTTACCATAGAATTGACTCGAGTAGTAAAGCAGTGTTTGGGTAGATCTGCTCTTTTCTTTGGGGTATTGTCTCACCTGCTGGGGACCAATATCATCCTGTGTCATACAAGAAACACCTACCCGGGGGCTAGAGAGATGGCTCAGCAGGTAAAGCACTTGCTGTGCAAGTGTGAGGACTCATGTAAAAACCTGGTGGGCTTGGTGGCCTGCCTGTAATCCCCGTAAAGAGGCTGAGATGGGATTCCCTGAACAAGCTAGATATCTAGACTAGCCAAATCAGTGAGCTCTGGGTTCAACTGAGAAACCCTGCCTCAATATATAAGGTAGAAGGCAGCTGAGGAAGATACCCAATGTCAACCTTGGATTTTCACATGTATATGCACACATATACCCATACACATGGGTACACACACATGCATACCACACACATACACATGGGAAAAAAAGGAAAGAAGGAAGAAGTAAAGGAGGGAGGGAGAGAGGGAGGGAAGGAAGGAAGGAGAGAAAGATAGGCAGTGGATGGGTTGCTAACTGACCTCCAAGGCAGAATGCCATCAGACACTAACAAAGGCAATGAGAATTCCAGCAGGTTAGATGTCCCTCCAGGGAGGCTGTGACCCAAAGCCCAGCAAGGAACAGGATCAGAGTGGACAGGAAATGAAAGAAGGGAATCTAGGCTGAGGGGACACTCTGAGCAAAAGCTTAGAGGCAGATAGGTGCCTTTTGTGTGGGAGGCGGCTGAGCAGCCTAGTGTGGCTGGAATATAGAATGCCACATGAGATCTGGGGTCAGGGAGAAAGGAGAAGTGAGTAGAGGTAGGGAGGGAGAGAGGGAGTCTCCACCACACATGAGCCTGGAAGGGTAAAGGAGAAGAACGGATGAACTCAGCCCAGAACCTGCATTCCTGGGGACTGGCCACCCTGTCTAAAACTGCAGCCTCCCTTATCACACCATGCGTTTGATTTTTGTTATTTTGTTCTATTTATTATATTATTGTGTGTATGTGTGTGTATGTGTGCATGCATGTGTATGCATGCCATGGTGCACATGTGAAAGTCAGAGGACAACTTGCAGGAGTCAGCTGTCTCCTTCCACAATGTGGGTCCTGGAGATGGGACTCAGATTGTCAAGCTTGGCATCAAGTGCCTGTACCGTCCCATGGCCCCTGCCTTTGCCTTCTTGCTGGACAGTGACCATCTCTTACATCCTGTGCATTTCACCTATCACGCCCCCACACTCTCCACCACATGCACACTTGAGGTCCATCCTGCCAGGCAGGGACTTGTGCCCATTTGTTCGCTGCTGCATTCCTTAGCATCTGGCACGGTGTCTGGCCAAGAACAGAGCAGATGAATCCTCATAGGATGAATGAGTGGTTTTATTTTCAGATTTATTTATTTGGGGCTGGAGAGTATTTTGCCTGAACGTATATAAGTGCACCATGTGTTTGCAATGCCCACAGAGACCAGAAGAGGACGTCAAATCTCCTGGAACTGGAGTTACACAGAGGGTTGTGAGCCATCATTTGGGTGCTGGGAACCAAACCAGGGTCCTTTGCAAGAACAGCCAGTGCTCTTAATCCCTGAGCCATCTCTCTAGCCCTGAATGTTTTTTATCTTCCTGTCTAGACCCAGGGAGAAGCCACTTTGAGTGAGACATGCTTCCCCTTGCAGGAGTGTCTCAGTCAACATAAGAACTTTTGTGATTTATTTATTTTATTACATTTATTTATTTAGTGTGTGTAGTATATGTATATGGTGTATGTATGCTGCAACACACATGTGGAGGTCAGAGAGCAACCTGTGGGAGTCATTCCCTCCCTCTACCATGTGGATCCCAGGGAACAAACTCAGGTCATCAGACTTGCCTACTGTATATGAGGCCTGGGGTACAATCCCTAATACCTCCAAAAAACAAAAGCAAAATATAACCTCTGTAATCACACTGCCCAGTTTAGTCCTATGCTAGCATTTTATTTTGTTTCGTCTCTTTTGAGACGGTCTCATGCACCCCAGCTGGCCTCAAACTCAATATGTAACCAAGGATGATCTTGAACTTCTGATCCTCCGGCCTACACCTCTTGAGGGCTAGGATTACAGGCACAAGCCACCACACCTGCTTCTAAGTGCTAGGGATCAAATCTTGGACTTCCTGCATGCTAGGTGAGCACTTTGCCTAGTTACATCCCCAGTCCACCCATATTAGCATTTTGGATGGTTTCCAAAACCACAAAATTGGAATTATACTAAATCTACCATTTTGAGATGTGCTGTTTGCTGTGGGCATTATGTGTTCTTAGAAAACTGTTAACCCGCTGGGCATGGTGGCGCTCACCTTTGATCCCAGCACTTGGGAGGCAGAGGCAGGCGGATCTTTGTGAGTTCCAGGACAGCTTGGTTTACATAGTGAGTTCCAGGACAGCTGGTGCTACAGGGAGACCCTGTCTCAAAGAGACCAAAAAGAAAAAAAAAAAGAAAAGAAAAGAAAACTATTAACCCCACCAGGTGTGGTGGAGCACCCTTTAGTCCCAGCACTCATGAGGCAGAGGCAGTGTGTATTGGTGTGGTAGGCACACTTGAGGAATTTGAGGAGAGGTCGGCTGTGTGGAGATGGACCCAGGCAGACTAAGAATGAGATAGGCCTGCAGGAGTTCCAGCAGAGAGGGGTGGGGACCTATAACAATGCAGTGATACTGAAGTTTAAAGTTCAAGGCCAGGGGCAAGGAGTGGCAGGAAATAAGGCCTAAACCCAGGCAGGTAATAGGTGGCCTCAGCTGGGCTGAGGATTGAGACTTTGCCCCCAGGCCAGCAGGGAGGCAGAAAAAGTGACCAACCAGATGAACCCCCAGATACCCCAGACCTTTGGAGTATCCTTTGGTGACTCCTTTCATTGACCTTTCATTCTCCAGCCCATCTGGCTGTCCTCTCTCCCTTCTAGTGGAACTGATTCTTAGATCTGAAAACCAGCCTCAGTCCAGAGGCAATCCAAATTCCAGTCTCAGAACTTTCTAGAATGGTGGGAGCCCTCAGTGGGACAGTGGAAAGAGGAATGCAGAGGACTCTGAATGGGTCCCCCACCATTACTTCATTCCTGCCAACATTTCACTTGCCTCTGTAAGTGCAGTCATGAGAACCGAGTTATTATTAATACAGTTAACATACAGACCTACCCATGTGCTGCACTTATGCTTCACAAAGCACTTTCAAGAACATTTCCTTGTTTTAACAATTTCAAGAATGAGCAGGGCAGACGTTTTACCCCCAGGCAACTTGAGTCAGAGAGGTAGTAGGACTGCTAAAGGTTGCAGATAGCAGCCCCATTGCTGTGTGACCCTGGAGTTGTCACTACAGTTGCCTCCTTCCCTTCCAGCAGGTAGAGGATCCGGAGCCTGTCTACGCGAACATAGAGAGGCAGCCTCGGGCCCCGTCGCCGGGCTCTACTGCAACCCCTGGCCTCAGCCCGGTGTGGGAGACACACACCGACGTGGGCACCGGGCGCCCCTACTACTACAATCCCAGCACGGGTGTGACCACCTGGGAGTCGCCCTTCGAGGCAGCTGAGGGTGCCACCAGCCCGGCCACTTCCCGGGCCTCTGTGGACAGCGGGGAGAGCCTTGATACAGAGTGGGGACAGTACTGGGATGAGGAGAGCCGCAGGGTCTTCTTCTACAACCCTCTGACAGGCGAGACAGCTTGGGAGGACGAGTCGGAGGAGCCAGAGCACCAGGACGAGCTGGAGATGCAACCCAGCCTGAGCCCAGGCAGCCCCAGGCAGAGGGTGAGGGCCTGGACCACTTCTGAGCATCTCTGACCCGGCTTCCAGTACAGGGACCAGAGAGCGAAGGGCGGGGCAATGTGGGCGGGGCCACCTCTGAGCTTCTCTCATCCCCCCCTTCCCCCTTCTTGCTTCTTAGGGACCAGAGAGTAGAGGCAGGGCCAGGTGAGCAGAGCTGCTTGTGGGGGCCTCTACCTCCCTTTCCTGTCCTTGGCCCCAAAGGAACAGAGTCATGGGTTGGTTCGATGCTAAGTTGGGAAGGCAGGGGCAGTATTGGCACTGAGAACCTCTGTCTCCATCTTCTGGTCCCCACAGCCCCCAACTCCTGAAACAGACTACCCTGAACTGCTGACCAGTTACCCAGAAGAGGACTATTCCCCTGTGGGTTCCTTCAATGATCCCGGCCCCACCTCTCCCTTGGAGACACCCCCTGGCTGGTCCTGTGAGATTGGCCCAGACAAGCAAATATTCTACACCAACCAGTTCACTCAGGAGCAAGTAAGGCACCACTGGCAGATGGATCTAGACAGCCTCTGCATCCCTCCCTCACCCAATTCTCCTCACTAGGGTCTCCCCTTAAAGACTAATCGCAGACCACATATCAGTTCAGCACAGTCTCATGCCCCAGCCCCTGGTGCCATCCTGGATCTTGAGCTAGGGACCCTGACCATCCCTGTGTCCACAGTGGGTGAGGTCAGAGGACCAGCATGGGAAGCCATACTTCTACAAGCCAGAGGACTCCTCTGTTCGGTGGGAGTTGCCCCAGGTAACCAACTGGGAAAGGGAGAGAGCTGGGGAGAGGAGAGGGGGATGATAGATGACATTGTCTTTCTCCCCAGGTCCCGATCCCTGCCCCTCGAAGTATTCGGAAATCCAGCCAGGACAGTGACACTCCAGCCCAGGCTAGCCCTCCAGAGGAGAGGGTAGGAAAGGGGCATGGAGGTCCTGGGGGCAGGAACAGATGAAACATATTCCTGTCTTCCCATCAAGTCCCATAGTAGAGAACATGGAAACTCAGGAGCAATTGCCCTGTATTTGTTCCTGCGGGAACATCATCCCCATCCTGAGCACCAGCAGCCAGGTGGCTGGGCGGGTAACAAGTGAGCCTCAGGCCCAACCAAAGGGGACCTCCCAGCTGAGGGGAAGCTAGCCTCTGATTCTTGTAGCTCACCCCCTCATTACTGTCCCTTCCCAACCCCCTTCTCTTTTAGATCAAGACCCTGGACAAGGCAGGAGTGCTCCATCGCACCAAGACAGTGGACAAGGGGAAGAGGCTTCGGTGAGGACTGTCCACCCTCAGACCAGGACAGGGTGGGCCTTGATAGCCAAGTTCACCAAGTGCCAGGCCTTGTCTGTTAGAGGGGGGAATTCTTGCCCACCAAGGCCAGGCTGTGTGCTTAAACTCTGTGTCCTACATGTGTGAGGGGGTGCCCTCCAGCCTAGGAACAAATCTAAGCCCACCCACTCCTACTTCCCCTCCTCACTCAGGAAGAAGCACTGGAGTGCCTCCTGGACTGTGCTGGAGGGGGGTGTCCTGACCTTCTTCAAGGACTCAAAGACCTCAGCTGCAGGCGGCCTGGTGAGACCTGTCCCTGAGTAGGGGACACCTGCTTTTTATCAGGTCTGATTTGGGAAAGGCCAGTCTGAGAGAGGGGTGGGTATCCAAGTGCCAAGGAGCACCATGGGCACTGGCAAGGAGGGGCAATGATGGCAGATTCTCTCCTATACAAATTTCTTCAGCCACTTTGGGGCTAGAAGACAGCTCCAACCAGGAGGAGAGGGAGGTTGGGACATGGCATATCTGCTCACAGTATAGGGCTAGGCTCCTTCCTTCCCTTCTGGAGTAGGCAGGCAGCAGTGGACCAGATGACCAGCAAGCTCCAGGGCCAAGAAGTACTAGGATCTCCCCTTCCCCAGGGACCTCAACCTATCCTTAGAGCCATAGGAGCCTGGTGTGTCAGAGCCCTGTGTACAGGCCCATCTGGGCTGAGGACCCCTATAACCTCGCTTTGCTCTTTTCCTTCCTTCCCTGCAGAGGCACCCTTCCAAGTTCTCCATCCCTGAGTACACAGTAGAATTGAAGGGGGCCTCTCTCTCTTGGGCTCCCAAAGACAAATCTAGCAAGAAGAATGTGCTAGAGGTGAGTGGTGGGATGGGAAAGGGGACTGATGACCTGGGATCCTCACTGCAGACAAAGTCCAATAATGGGGGCCTGCAAAGTCTGCAAAAGGGCTGGAATTCTCAGGACTCAAACCCAAAACTGCCCCCATCCTGGGTCTAGTGTTTTCTGCCATCATGGTATCTGATGCCTCCTCTCTGGAGTTAATATTCCTTGCTATAGAGGGCTAGAAAAGCAGAGTCTATGGTAAATAAAGCTGGTATGCCCAGAAGGGCCACCCTCCTTCCAGCTGCCAGCCTAATACTTGGATTCTGACTGCTCGCTCAGATAGGCTGGACCAGGAAACCTACTCTTGCTGGCCAGAGCCCAGATTCCAGCTTTTATTGAGTCCCTAATGAATAGAACAGGACAATGACAAGCTGGTCTGACTCCCCCAGCAGGTAGAGCAAGAGGACTCTGGCAAGGCCCTCATAAATGCCACACCCGTTGCTATTCCAGAGTTGTCCAGTTTTTTATAGTCCCTAGTGCTATGAGGCAGAATGCAACAAAAACAAAGGCAGTGAGGGGTTGGGGAGGTAGCGCTATTGGTAAAGTACTTGCTTCACAAGCATGAGAACCTGAGTTTGAGCCTCAGGACCTACGTAAAAGGCTGGTGTGGTGGCACACAATTGTAATCCCAGCACTGAGAAGGCAGAGACAGGTGAATTCCCGGGGGCTTGCTGACCAGCCAACCTAGCCTAATAGTTGAGTTCAGGCCAGCAAGAGACCTCAAAAAAAAAAAAAACAGGGCTGGAGAGATGGCTCAGCTGTTAAGAGCATACCCCTCTTCTGGTCTCTATGGGCTCTCTGCATTCATGTGCCTAGCCACACACAAATCCACATAATTAAAAAATAAAATCTTTTTTTTTAAAGACAACACCTGAGAAATGACACCTGAAGTTGAACTCTGACTTGTATTTGCATACCTACACACATTTAAACATACACATGTGCACTCACAAATACAAATACACACACACACACACACACACACACACACACACACACACACACAGTAACTTGGTAAAAGCCACCAAAAAGCCAGGAGCAGGCAAAAAACAACTTCGGGATGATGCCGAACTAGGGGAACTAGGGGCAGATGGTGAGCAGGTGTTCTGGGGGTCAGAGAAACAGCTCCATTTCTTCTCCCAACAGAAGTGAGAGGAGACACCATCAGTTACAGTGTTCTTTTTTGTGAGGGAGGGGCCCTCTCTGGGTTTCAGGGACTCAAAGCTACTTTCTAACCTTTAGTTCTTAAACAAATTTCTAGTGCGTAGCTCCATGAAAATGGGATCTAGAGGGATAAGTGTCCTAACAAACCACTCGATGGAAGTTGGCTTAGGGGACTTAGGGCTGCTTAGGGCAGCAGATTACAAAGAAAACCAGAAGCAGGGCCAAAACATTCTGCAGGGAGTATGAATCCTTCATTTCTGATGAGTCTCCAAGCTTTTTTAAAAAAAATATTGATTACTTTTGTTTTATGTGTATGAGTGTATTGCTTGCATGTATGTAAGTATACCCAAGCTGTGCAATGCCTGCAGAGGTCAGATGAGGGCATCAGATCCCCTGGAACTGGAATTATAGACAGTGGTTAGCTGCCATGTGGGTTCTGGGAATCGAACCAGGGTCCTCTGTATGAGCAGCCAGTGTTCTTCTCCACTGAGCCATTTCTCCAGCTCCAGTCTCCAAGCTTTATTCAGTTCTAAAACAAGGGTTCTAGAGCAGGAATGAAAATCCAGTTTCATCTCATGAGGTACTCTTGATCAGTAGGTCTGAAACTTTCTTGAGAACTCTAGCACCTTCTCCAGGTTTGGCAGGGTAGAGTTCTGCAGTCAGCTAGCAATGTCTGCTATGGGGTCAAATTGGGCAGGGACTTCACATTTTCAGATGTGTTCTTTCTTAAATCTGGAAGGAGAGCTTTCAACCAGTTCTCTATAAAGGTCACCCTAACGGGATTCTGAGGAACATTTTGGAAGAGGCCTATCTGAGTGGTCTTTTCTGGCAAAGCCTAGAAGGCAGATGTGTCCTTCAAGCTGATAAAGAGGATGCTGGGAAGGCTGGGGGTTCTGAGTGGGAAGCCAGGAGCCCTCTGCCTCCTTGCAGGCTAGTGGTCATCCCTTTCCCTCTCCCTCTCCCTCCTCCTCCCTCCCTCCCCCTCTCCCTCTCTCTCTCTCTTCACAGTGGCCTGTAGGCAACTTGAGGATTTCCTGAAAGGCAGCTCCATATTCCCTGTCATGGAGGATGGACAGCTGTGCCGGAAGGAGTCTCACAGCTCCCTTCCTAGTGCCCCCAGAGCCACAGAACTCTGTAGTGACAGTATGAGGGACAGCTCAACTTGCTTATACATTTGACAGGATAGATGTTTTATGTAATATATCACCATGTAACTAAAGCTTTGCTATATGAAATATTAAACTTCACTTTAATTTTTCCAGTGCTGTGGGTGGGGAAACCCAGGGCTTTGTATATGCTAGGCAAATGCTCTATCACTGAGCTACATCCTCAGCCCTGGAAACTTTCAGCTATGAACTGATAATGCCTTAAGCAAACTGCCCCAAACAGTTCTTTTGGAATTGTCTTAGGCATGTCTCTGGAGTAGCAGGCAGTAGAGTTAATCTGAGATTGGAGTTAAGCCTGTGCTTTCTACATGGGCTGTTTCTCAGGTCTTTGAAGGGGAGGTGAAACACGCCAGGGTTTGTTTGTTTGTGTTTTCACTTTGGGGTGCTGGAGACCACATCCAGGGCTTCTTGCATGCTTAGCCACTGCTGTGCCACTGCACTCCAGGCTGCTGCCACTCCCTCTTCCTCCTCCTCCTCCCCCTCCCCCTCCCCCCTCCTCCCATTGTTAAAAGCAGTTTAAATCAATTTAGGTAAAATTTTAAAAGCAAGACAACCAAAAAACAGTCTTCTCTGATTTTAGAAGCTGTTCCCGAGTGGGTGTGATAGTGCACCCCTTTAGTCCTAGCACTCAGGAGGCAGAGGCAGGCAGATCTCTGTGAGTTCAAGGCCAGCCTGGTCTACATAGTGAGTTCCAGGCCAGCTGGGGCTACAGGGAGACCTTGTCTCAAAAAAAGACCAAAAAAAGAAGTTGTTCCCCGCTGTTTGATCCAGCTTCCATAGTCTGCCTCTGTCTCGAACCTCAATGGCAAGTTTGACATTCCACTTCTACAGCCATAATGTGGTGTGGAATGCCTGGGCAGGGATCCACCCCAGTCAATGGCTTCAGGCCATCAGTCCTGTGTCCCAAAGCTTTCCTCCAACACTTTGATGAATGTATGATTCTTGATGAATTGGGCTGTGAGAAGACTTGTGGCCCAGACTGGTATATGGGATTAAGTTGAGACACGTAGCTGCAAAGCCTAGGAACACACTCCATGTCCTCAGTGTATTCGGGATCGGCCACGGGCCAGCCGTGATCTGTTTTCTATTCCTCCCCACATTTTCTTTTCTTTTCTTTTTATGTGTACGAGTGTTTTGCCTACATGTAAGTGCACCTGTGTCATGCAGTGTCTGTAGAGGTCAGACAAGGGTGTTGGATCTGGAACTGGAGTTACAGAAGGTTGTTAGTCACCATGTGGATGCTAGAAACCAAACCCTGGTCCTCTTTAAGAGCATCCAGTGTTCTTAACTGTTGAACCATCTCTCAAGACCCCTCCCCATGTTTTCATTGTCATTCCAATAGACAGGGTCTCTCATGAGAAGTTTCTGTCACTTTCCTCTTTGCAAGCCGATGCCCTGGATGAGGCCTGCTGTGTTCTGTGGCAGGCCACAGTGATCCCTGCAGAGCCCCACTCTATCACTGCTGGCTGTGTAACCATGAAGAAGTAGCTAAAGTTTACTGGGCCTCGCTTTGTCTTCCTGTAACAGATGTTGTCACCCACAACCTTAAACAAAGAGGAAGACTTGGGCCTGGGTTGAGGCCTTTGCTCCATTAGGCTCTGAGTCCTTGGGGGCAGGGACAAGCTACCTCCCTCTCTGTACATGCACACACCCCAGGCCTACTCCCACAGTAGACCTAGGGAAGTAGAGATGACTGACTGACTTGTGTCCCTCCAGCTTCGAAGCCGAGATGGCTCAGAGTACCTGATCCAGCATGACTCAGAAGCCATCATCAACAACTGGCACAAGGCCATTGCCGAAGGCATCCAGGAGCTGGTAGGCAGAACCTGGTACCTGTAGGGCTGATGGGGAGGGTGCAGGCATTTATACAGAACCCTCAGCTATGCATAGGGACCCATAGTACCAATGGATGAGTTCCATTCCCTGCAGCATCAGCACCCCCTCCTCCTGCTAATGAGAGGGCTTTCCAAGAGGGGATAGACACATCCTGGTTGACATCATTCCAAGAGAGGCTTGTGGAGGGGTAAATAAATACTCTGAGAACCAGACTTAGACAGGAGTGACAGCTAGAACTAGAAGATAAAACTTTAAAGGGTTGAATTCAGGGGCCTTGTACACAAGTGTCTTACACTGAGCTATAGCCCCAGTAGTGTCAATTATGGATTTGTGGATGTAGCTTAGTGACAAATAACTTGCTCAGTATGCATATGGCCCTGGGTTTTGGCTCTGAAAAACAAAATCAAATACATAAGTAGAGATGAGGCAGAACCCCTCTGTCAGCTGTTTACATGGCAGTGGCTTGGTACTATTTGACTCTTAATTCCCTATTAGTTAGCATTGACTGTATTAATAGGTATAGGAATCCAGATGCAAGAGGTAAGGGGGGGAGGTGATCGCCATGCTCTAGGCCACGTTGCAAGTTCATGAGTAGGACCCAGTCTAGTTGTAGAGAGTTGAGTCAGATATGAGGAGACCAGGACCTGGCAGGTAGGTAGAGGTGGCCAGGACAAGAGAGACAGAGAGGGAGAGAGAGGAGGAGGATGAGAGAGAGTGGAGGGAGAGAGAGAAATTTCTTATGGGGTTAAACAGTTTCAGAGAGAGAGAGAGAGAGAGAGAGAGAGAGAGAGAGAGAGAGAAACACTACAGTGCTCCTGGAGGACTCTACAGCCTGGGAAGGTGGAAATTCTGATTCTCTGAAGAGGAGGGTTATTAACTTACTAAGGGAAAAGAGGTCTCTGCCTGGGGCCTCTCCAGGCCAGGGCTGTTGGAAGGCACCTGGGGTTCCTTGCCATATTGAGGGAGGCCTCAAATGGCCCCAGGCCTTTGCCTTCTGAAGCTGTCTGATTCCAGGCTGCAGATACACTCCCCAGGGAGGAAAGTGAGCCCAGCAGCACTGATTTCGGGTCCAGTGAGCGCCTGGGAAGCTGGCGGGAGGAGGATGCTCGCCAGAATTCAGGTGTGCGATGGGGTCAGATGGGGACGGCATCAGGAGGTCGGCTCTGTGGGGCGGGAGGTAATTTCCTGGTCTGAACCTGCTGACCCTCTGATACCACCGCCACTGAGTTCTGGTTCCTCTGCAGCAGCCTCACCAGCGCTGAGCCCCGGAGGTCTGGAGACCGACTTGAGCAGGGTCCGGCACAGACTCCGCAAGTTCTTACAGAGGCGGCCCACGCTGCAGTCCCTGCGGGAGAAGGGCTACATCAAAGGTACCTGCGGCCACCGGGATCCGGGTTCAGGTGGTGCTGGGCTGGGCAGCGCTGATGAGCCTCTCCCCCAGACCAGGTGTTTGGTTGCGGGCTGGCTGAGCTGTGTGAGCGCGAAAGGAGCCCGGTGCCACGCTTCGTGCAGCAGTGCATCCGCACCGTTGAGGCCAGGGGTACGTTCCCACGCAGGGCTGCAGGGAGTGCATGGACTTTATCCAGGAGCAAGAGGGGAGGCCCTGAGTAGGAATCATTACTGACCCTAGCTCCACTAGGGTTAGCATCATTTTCTCTCTCTCTCTCTCTCT